GGCGGGGGCAGCAATCGCGTGGCTGCTATACACCGCGGGAGCGACTCCCAAAAGCCCGCTAGCGCGAACCGCGCTTATAGCGCACAGAGCGACGACAATCTACAAAAATGAAAAATAGTTTATTTATAACATTAACGGCCGAAGTATGAAACGAATCTCACGCACTTTGCTGCACAAACGCCGCTTACAATCTGTAGGACGAAATTTCAGTGGAATTTGGAATGTATTATCGGATGCTCTTACATATTTAAATGTCGTTTTAATATTTGGCTGTAGCTGTAAACACTTTTTAATGATTCCCAAAAATGTTTGATTTAGTTACAATTTTCCTAATTTTGTATCCTATTTGCAGTCGACGTTCTTTCAGTTATCAATCAACGAATTGCTATTCATAAACTTATTTAATCACTTAAACACACCTTAGCGAACATGTTGATGCTGTTTGATGGTGGCAACTGAATAATTTAGCAAGGCGTGCTCCGGTTTTTATACTGCTCCACTATGTCCATTTCACTTTCATTGTCAACGAACCTACATTTTACGAAGAGGGTCAAAACAAGAGCGAAAAGGTCTCATTTATTATGAAATATTATTATAAATGTTATGCAAATTTGCTTTTCTTTCATGAAAAAATTGAAAGAATATAAAGTATTTATAATTACAATATAACATGTAACCCTAAGTTTCATCTAATGCACGATTAGGCGTGATTGATTAACTATATATTATTTTTAAATATTGATAGGAAAATTTTACCATAATTATATACTCGTAAACTTCACTATCTAAGATATAGTTAACACAGTAACTGTAGGCACTTTAAAAAAAAAAGATTCCCAGGTCAAATTCTAAAGGAGAGGAATGAGCACACTTTTACTTAGGTCAAAATATTTTGGTTACAAATTGAATCCGAACTAAAATAAGTACATGAAATTGTAAAACCTTCTTTATCTATAATTCTTTTATTGTTTAATTCAATGCTCATGAGTGTTTTAATGATTCAAGAGTATTTAAAAAGATAAAAGAGATTTTTTCTAAATATTTGTAGTCATTCGCTTACTAGATTCAAGTCCAAATTCTGAATCATATATCATGTTGTTACAGGACTCTAATATTAGTCGATCGTTTGGGAGAAAGGATAACAAAATTCATTTAAAAACATAGTGACAAAGACAGTGATACCCAATGTAACTTATTTTTTAACGAACATAACAATCCTGTGCAGTCAATAAAAGGTTTACCTTGATTAATTATAATTAAGGAATTACGCAAAATATCATACGCTCACTTTGTGCCAATTGAACGACAGTAAAATGTTTAATGTTACATTTAGATTATATGTAAAAGTATTTTTTATGAACGTATAAGATTTTTGAAACGTTTATTAAAATAATAACAGTGGTAGAGGCTTTAACCGTGGGCTGAATAGGCAAGCACGTCCAGTGCAATACCACGACC